CTGCGAGGACAGATCTGCACGTTCCTCCCCCCCAATAGCTAGCAATCCAGAACAGTCCAGTGGAGCCTGAGCGGTGGGTGTTGCCTTCTGACATCAATGATGCCAGGGGGTGTGGCATATGCAAATGAGCTATGCTAATGAGGTCCTGCACCTCTTTTTCTACGAAATGACCCCTGGTCCCAGTAGACTGGACTATTCCCAATGGGTGAGGAAGCTCCAAAGCAAGATGAACTTAAAGACTTTTAAACCCTTTAAACAAAACTGCTTATTAGGATGCGCGGTCCCTACAGAGACCAAATCTAACGGTGTCAGTTTTGCTGGTAGGGTTCCCGGATGCCGGCTTCTGGAAGGAAGACCCGCCCTCCCAGAAGGAGAAAGGCCTGGGGGTGGAAATGACACTTCATGACGTCACATCTGGGCAGAAAATCTGGATGTGATGTCGGGACGTCAGGCAACACTCTGGTGGTCCCCAAGAACGCCATAGTCAGGACCATGGAGTTTTCAGGGAAGACCAGAGTGTCGGCTTACATGGCATCTAGGTTTTCAGCCGGATGTGTGACATCATGGATCGAGCGGGACCTAGTGGCAGAGTGCAACGGTGTACAGCTCTTTATAACGGATAGAGTGGGAAGACAGATGTTCCCCGTCTGAACGCCGGTAGGTACATCGATTTCAACCGGCACAGAATCCGTTGTAAAGGCTGCGTCTGAACGCACCCTCTGTGTCACAGAGTGGCCATACGGACCCCAACTCATGTGATGTAACTGTGGACAGTCCTCACCCCCACAAAGAGGCACAGACACAGAGAAAACTTTCTCATCGCACGTAGAATGCACTGGCTGCGATCGCGCACACGAAACAATCCGCTTTCAATGCACTTTCCAACTGGATTTTAACGCGTGACCTGGCAAAATTGCAAAGGGCATCGAAAGTGGATTGAAAGTGGATTCTTTAGGGTGTGCGATTGCAACCGTGCTCCCGGTGCAATCCTAAACAGTTACAACTTTCTAAGCCCACTGATTTCAGTGGATTTCAGAGCACAGAACTCTGCTTAAGAATCAATGTAAGAATAGCCAGGTGTGCTAGACTGTGCACTTCACTGAGTGCTTCATCGCCGGCCTCTGAAGCCACAAACGACTTGGAAGTCACATTTCAGTCTCCCCGCCACCATAAGAAAAACAAAAGGCCTTGAAAATCCATTATCTGTTAAAGGCTTCATTCCACAAGGGGGTGCTCTATACCAAAATTTGTATCAGCCAACAGACTGTTTCAAGGGAATGCATATCTAGCACACTGTGGTCGAGCACTGTTCCCTTGGCATTTTAGAATCATAGAATCATAGAGTTGGAAGGGACCTTCAGGGTCATCTAGTCCAACCCCCTGCACAAGGCAGAAAATTCACAAATACCTCCCCCCACACACACACACCCAGTGACCCCTGCTCCATGCCCAGAAGATGGCAAAAAAACTCCAGGATCTCCAGTCAAACCGGCCAGGAGAAAAATGGCTTCCTGACCCCAAAGTGGCAACTGGCATTTCCCTGGGCGTGTCAGAAAGGGCCATGAGGACTAAGCACTGAGGCAACCCTTCCTGCCCTCCCTTCTCGTGATCTGCCTAAGTTCACAGACTCGGCATGGCTGTCAGATGGCATTTTAATGTGAGCATCTGATATAACCTGGCCAGAATCCTCATTCTCATTACAAATGCCTCTCTTATACTTTAAAGGTAAAGGTTTCCCTTGCTCGAAAGCCAGTCGAATCCGACTCTAGGGTTGCGGTGCTCATCTCCGTTTCAAAGCCGAAGAGCCAGCGCTGTCCGAAGACGTCTCCGTGGTCATGTGGCCGGCATGACTCAACACCGAGGCGCACGGAACGCTGTTCCCTTCCCACCGAAGTGGTACCTATTTATCTACCTGCAATTTCTTGCTTTCGAACGGCTAGATTGGCAGGAGCTGGAACTAGAGACGGGAGCTCACTCCGTCATGCGGCACACTCGGGTCTCGAACTGCTGAACGACCAGCCTTCCACAGCCTGCAGTTCAGCATCTTCACCAATTGAGCCACCACAGCTCTTCTCTTATACTTTACAAGAGTAGAAAACAGAAAGAGCCCAGGGGCACCTTAAAGACTAACAGAATTTGCAGGCGGCACACTCGGGTCTCGAACTGCTTCCGCAGCCTGCAGTTCAGCATCTTCACCACTTGAGCCACCGCGGCTCTTCTCTTATACTTTACAAGAGTAGGAAACAGAAGGAGCCCAGGATCACCTTAAGGACTAACAGAATTTGCAATGAAGAAGTGACCCATGACTCATGAAAGCTCCTCCCCTGCCACCAATTTTGTTTCTCTTGAAGGCGCTCCTGGACTCTTGCTCTTTTCTACTGCTATAGACAGACTAACAAGGCGACCCATACTTTACGGCAAGCAGACGGTAGCATTAACAGCCCGACAGTGAAAGCGACTTATGCTGTGGGTGGGAAGTTCAGAGAGAGACACAGCATTTCGACTGGGTAGGGGGAAATGGGATCTTTATGTCTTTTCCACGGGTAAGGCAGATGGACGGATGGCGTTAAGCAGCCAAAGACTGGCTAAGAAACCTCTCTTCCCCATGAACACGCAAAGCTGCCTTCTACAGAATCAGACCACGGGTCCATCAAAGTCTGTGTTGTGTACTCAGTCTCTCCTGGGGTCTCAGGTGGAGGTCTTTCACATCACCTGGTCCTTTTAACTGGAGATGCCGGGGATTGAACCTGGGACCTTCTGCATGCCAAGCTGGGGCTTTTCCGCTGAGCCACAGGCCCTATCAAGATCACTATTGCCTATTCTGACTATTAGCAGTTCTCCCGGATCTCAGGAGGAGATCTTTCACATCACCCGCTGCCTGGTCCTTCTCCCTGGAGATGCCGGGGATTGAACCTGGGACCTTCTGCATGCCAAGCTGGGGCTTTTCCGCTGAGCCACAGGCCCTATCAAGATCACTATTGCCTATTCTGACTATTAGCAGTTCTCCCGGATCTCAGGAGGAGATCTTTCACATCACCCGCTGCCTGGTCCTTCTCCCTGGAGATGCCGGGGATTGAACCTGGGACCTTCTGCATGCCAAGCTGGGGCTTTTCCGCTGAGCCACAGGCCCTATCAAGATCACTATTGCCTATTCTGACTATTAGCAGTTCTCCCGGATCTCAGGAGGAGATCTTTCACATCACCCGCTGCCTGGTCCTTCTCCCTGGAGATGCCGGGGATTGAACCTGGGACCTTCTGCATGCCAAGCTGGGGCTTTTCCGCTGAGCCACAGGCCCTATCAAGATCACTATTGCCTATTCTGACTATTAGCAGTTCTCCCGGATCTCAGGAGGAGATCTTTCACATCACCCGCTGCCTGGTCCTTCTCCCTGGAGATGCCGGGGATTGAACCTGGGACCTTCTGCATGCCAAGCTGGGGCTTTTCCGCTGAGCCACAGGCCCTATCAAGATCACTATTGCCTATTCTGACTATTAGCAGTTCTCCCGGATCTCAGGAGGAGATCTTTCACATCACCCGCTGCCTGGTCCTTCTCCCTGGAGATGCCGGGGATTGAACCTGGGACCTTCTGCCTGCCAAGCAGAGGCTCTTCCACTGAGCCAGGGTCTCAGGTGGAGGTCTTTCACATCACCTGGTCCTTTTAACTGGAGATGCTGGGGATCGAACCTGGGACCTTCTGCACGCCAAGCCGATGCTGGACCGCTGAGCCCTAGAGGAGCACGGAGTGCCCGCCAATGCTGGACCGCTGAGCCCTAGAGGAGCACAGAGTGCCCGCCAGCCTGGTACTCACCGCTCGTGGAAAAAGAAAACGTAGACGGTCCCGACGGTGGCCATGATCCAAATCAGCCAGCGCATATGGGAAGCCCAGGGGCCCAATTCCCGCAGGTTCAGCCTGGGAGAATAAGAGAGGCCGTTGAGTCCTTGATAGTAATAGCAGTTTCGGGGTTGGGGGAGAGCGCTGGAAATCAAACACGCCAACCCCAAACTGCGAGGAAGGGGCTTCCTCTTGGACACCAACCCACTGGAAGCTTCTCCGATAAGTTAAAGGGCCAGCGTACCCCACAAACCTCCCGGGGTTCTGTATTCCAATCCTGTCACCACTGTTCCAGAAAGGCCTTGTGTCTTGTCTGTTTGTCGGGTGCACTTGTATTGTGTCCCTCCTCTAAGAAGCTCAGGGCAGTATGTACGGTTCTCCCTTCTCCCTTCGATCCTCACAAGCAATGCTCTCTCTAAACTGTGGAGTCTTGTGAGCAAAAGGTCTACTTTGTGAGCTGCTGGCATCAAAGTTGTGAGCGAGCGATTGGGCTGCTGCATAAATTCGTTTGCTCTGGAGCCCTCCTTCCTGAGCCAAGACAAATATGTGGGTGTCGGAGGCCGAAAAACTGTGAGCTAGCTCGCACGGACTCAGCTTAGAGGGAACACGGCAACAACCCTGTGAGGCTGACAGAGAGGGAGTTCTGGGCCTAAGGATAACCCAGCATGCTTTGCAGCAGACCGAGGCCTTGAACCCAGATCCACCAGCTCCTAGTGTGGCACACTAACTGCCACTCCACACTGTCTATTTGTAATTTCAGACACAAACGCTTCTGTCCCATTTAGGAAATGGAGCTGAAGCGTTTTACCTGTCAACCGCTTCCAAGTAGTCTTCAGTTTCCTCTCCCGGTTTCGATGCGCTTTTCCCCATCGTTTTTCACCCACGCGGGCGATCTCCAGCTTTTTTTTTTTGAACATTCGCTTTAGAGCGCTATAGCGCTATAGCGCTCTAAAGCGAATGTTCAAAAAAAAAAAGCTGGAGATCGCCCACACGGGCGAAAAACGGCGGGGGAAAAGCGGGAAAAAGCGGTGCAGTCTGAAATAGCAAACCGCTTCAGATCCAGCTCTTTACCGGAAGGGGAAAGCCATGTGTGAAATGGCAGCCCTATACCGGTTTACTCCACGACGGATCAAAAACAGCTTCAAAACAGGTTAAGAAGGGTAATTTGAAATTCCTCACTTTCTTCCTCGCATCCCGCAGCGTTGCCCGTTGTGTTTTATCTGATGGCAGTGTGTGGGACTCTGAGGAAAATCTCTTTGGGTAAGTGGGCTCCACGGGGATGCCAGCACGCATGGCTACCTGGGAGCAGGCATCTCCGCACAAATCAGCTCCTTGCAAAAGTGACGTGCAACAGGAGCAGGCTGCGTTGATGGTGGGGTTGGCCCCTCGTCTTCCCCCCCACCCACCAACATCTTATCAGCCTCGCCCCCCACAGCTGGGGAGCACCTCCAAGGCCATTTCCGCAGTAGTGAAATCCCCCACCTTGATGTTTTTAAAACTGGGTGTTATGTGAAATTTCCCGCAGCAGATTTTCCCTCACAGGGCACGAAGGAACCCAAAGTTTTCGCCTTCTTACCCTGTGTTTTCGGAACTCGCTAAAACTGGGTATTCCAAAGCGTCGGGTTTGTGCCTGGGGAGGAAAAATCTTGCACAGAAAATTTCACATAACACCCAGTTTTAAAGATGTCAATGTGGGGGATTTCACTACTGCGGAAATGGTCCATGGAGACTCTGCCACAGGACTCTTGCGCCCTGGCTTTCTCTTGGGCAGCTGATATACAGCAGCAACAACTTGGATAAGCCAGGACAGCGTCAGGAGTCATTCCCCAGTGCTTATGGACACAAACAGGGCTTTTTTGGGGGGGGGGAGGTGCCAGGACTCTTAAGAGGGAAATGAAGCTTTCAATCCCTGTACTAAAAACTCATGAAACCTTTAAACGTTTTTAAAAGAATTTTGTCGAAGAGGTGCTGGAACTCTCTTCCAGTGCGTTCCCCCAGGAAAAAAAAACCCTGGCCACAAGAGCCAAAACCCAGAAAAGCTTACGGCTTGGGGGTGGCTATGTTTGGAGTTCCCTTTTCAGTCCTAATTGGGTGGGGGACTCTCTGCTACAGCGCCTGTTTTCCTAACTGGAGCTGTTCCTCCGTAGATGCAGAAACCTTCCAAGGAGATGTGAAACGGACTACACCAGACTGCAGGCAGCATAAAGAGTAAAGGTAAAGGTTCCCTTGCTTGAAAACCAGTCAAATCCGACTCTAGGGTTGCGGTGCTCATCTCCGTTCCCAAGCCGAAGAGCCAGCGCTGTCCGAAGACGTTTCCATGGTCATGTGGGCGGCATGACTAAACACCAAGGCGCACGGAACGCTGTTCCCTTCCCACCGAAGTGGTACCTATTTATCTACTTGCAATTTCTTGCTTTCGAACTGCTAGGTTGGCAGGAGCTGGACCTAGAGACGGGAGCTCACTCCGTCATGCGGCACACTCGGCATGGACTAGTCAATTTTACACCTAAGGGAAATTGCATTTTTATAAAAGCGAGCGGCATCAGAACATACCTATCTTAAAACAAACAAACATTGCCAACATACTTTAAGCATAGCAGAGATGGCAAGGGACAAAGATATTACTTATCACCGACACTACTCGGTAAG